AGAACGAGCCGCATATGAACTTCTGAAGAGTCGCATGTGGCTCTGGAGCCACAGGTTGGCCACCCCTGCCCTAGACTTTACCGAAATCCCTGTTCTCCTGGCTTCTCCTAGTCTCCCTCTGCTCTTTTCATTTCCCAACAGAGCTCATCAAAAATGTTGCCATTTTTGTTGAAACGTCCAAAAAAGGGAAGTATTTTTCAACCCAAAACTGTCTGTCTTTCCCAAGTAACTGATTCCCAATACTGCCCCTGAAACAGTTTCGGCCCCGAGGCTCTGTTCCGAAATTACTGTTGTCATTGGGTTCATCGCTGGGGGGCAGGGAGCTACAGTGGGAATAACACCCCACGGTTAGGAACTGCACATCTGTTCTGTGGGAGCAGGAGAAACCCTCTAGGCTTTTAACTGCCTCAGTGGATCACCTTGGAAGGATGGTGCCACCTTCGTCCTTTGCTTGGCAGAGTGAGGTGGTAGAAAAGCTTTGACTGGGCGTGTTCCGATATGAGATCACACACTGCCCATAGTGATGGGGTTTGGGGAATTAAGGTACTTTCCTGTCTGCTGCAAAACATAACCTGCTGGAGCTGATCAAACCAAGTGCAAGGGCTGCAGAGCCCTGCCTGGCACGCTGCTCCCTGCCAGCAGCAAACAGGCAGAATTCTGAATGAAATTGTCTTTTGTTCTAAAAACCTAAGCCACTTTGCTCCATAAATCTCTGCTCATTGAATCATCTTCTCCCCTTCAGCTGAAGTGCTATTCTCTGTTTGATGTCTCAATTACTCCTCCTCAATTCCTTCCTTCTTAGACAAACTACAGACTTTAAACCTCCACCCTGAGGGACTTATTGGAGCAGAATACAGAGCTCAGTTGCTTGGGTCAGAGACATGATTTCCCCCTGAACTATCAGGGAAGATTTCAGTCTGTGGCTGCTTAAGGGGGTTGGACAGGAGGGAAATGGCTGGCTGAACTCAGTTCACATTCCACTCCTGATGGATCTGAAACTTGGCAATCCTCATACTAGCTGCCAGGAAAAAAACAACCCAGGCACGCATACAAAATACCACAACTTGCTATGCACTTAACGGCACAAAGCTGAAATGCTCTGAGTTTCTATAATCAATAGATATAATGAATTGAGGATTGCATTCAAATGAACTAGTTATCTTCCACATTGCCACCAGTATTTACAAATACTGGTTTGCGTTTTCCTTGCACAGATCTGTACCTGGTGCACGTGTAGCAAAGGGAGACTTGTCTCTGGTGCTGCGGTTTGTTTTCTAAGGAAATGGAATAAATGAATTTGAACATTGAAGGCCGACTTCTGCTCTGTTTGATACTCAAACCACTGAGAGCTGCAATTTGTCTTCAAAAATGTCACTGCCTCCCAAATTTTAACCCCAAAACAGTCTTTGTTTTGTAAAAAACAAGGAACTACATGCATGAGAGTTAGAGAGAAAGCCAGCCAAAGGACTCTGGAGGCCTGGACACACACTTTGGGGATTTGATTGGTTGGTTTTGTTTTTCACTATGGTTTGTTTTTCCTACAGTATTAAAAATTAACTTGCATTGGGAATTTTTTCAGATATTTGCCTTTTTAGCACATATCTCTGAAATGATTGATAAGCCACCTAACTGATTGTCATGGCCCTGGAGAGGGAAACATCTTTTGCAGTTTAATATAAAACCCGCTCACTTCTCAGTTAATAAGTGTTGAAAGAAGCATAAATAGAAACAACACAGGATTTCCATGACTAACAAGATGACCACATCAGTGAATGTTGTTTGGGGTTACAAATGACTCAGCTTTTGCCTCCCTAGGGTAAGATGTTTTATTCCATTGCAAGCGAGGCTGCCAACACGACTTTGAAGGTCTGACAAACTCAATATAACTTGTGTTCAAAACTCGGAAATGTTTGAATGCACAGTCAAAAAAAATAAAATAAAAAAACTTTTAAACTCTACTCCATGTGTGCAGATTTCTTAAAGATAAAGGAGCCCACAGCTTTATCCGGCTATTGCTGACTCTTTTCTTTTCAAAAGCCTTTTCAGATGTTTTCACTTTTCTGCTTGCTTTGTTGAAAGATGTAAAAATTTAAGACAACCACAAAGTAAACATTTCAAAACTTTCTATTTTGAAAATTAGTGACATTTTCAAAATCCCTTGAATTCCATTTTCAGAAACGAAGATAATTTTTTTAATTTAGTTGACAAATCATCCAGGTAGATTTTTGTTTATTCACAGCCTTTCTTTTATTTTTCAAAGAAAATAGATTTATTATTTAATAGAAACACTAGATAAGTAGATGTCTTTTTCAAAATAAAGCAGGTTTTCTTTATTAGAGTGAAATAGTAATGAACTCATCTGCTTCCAATATTTATAAAGAGTAGAGAAGGCCATTAATTCTACTGGTTGTGAATAAAACCATCTGTGATTTCTTTCCATTTGATGTGTTTTGGTTTTAATATACATTTTTCACAAATAAGTGCAGGGTTTTTTTGTGAAAATGTCACATTCAGAATCTCATAAAGAAAGAACGCAAAGAGAGGGAAACGAAATGTTTTGTTAGCTAAGTAATTTCTCACCTTGCATACAGAATAAAATCCATGCCAACTTTAACACATTAGGCGACAGAATTACACGTTCAACTCTAATGCAATCCATGACATGTTACAAGGCAAATAGAGTATGTTTTGAAGTTTGTTTTCCTTTGGGAATTATACAGTACGTTTAACCTAATCTGTCCTGACACTTGAATTATAACATGATGAGCTTCTTCAGAGAAGCATAACAGTAGATGCCTCCTTTAAAAGCAAAGCAGAAGTTAATAAAATGGGCTAGATGTCAGGGGGAAAAGTCTAATCAAATCATGGTGTAATTCTCTAGAGAACATAGGTTCAAGTTATATTTTTTTCCACCAGAAATCTTGGAAGTCTAATGACATACTTCTTCCCAAGGTGAAATTTGACCTCTAGAATTTTGCTTGATTAAACCAAAAACTGTGAGAATGCCCCAAATGGGACCACTTTGTAGTTTGACTTATGAGTGTTGGATCTAAATTAAAATGAGTATTCATCCAGCTGCTCTGCCAGACGTCATTTTACATGCTTCCCACCAACTTGCATTGTGGAGCCTGCACTGTATTGTAGTTGTCCTTGTTGTCATGCTGAATAACTGGTTATGGTGCAGGTTACACACACACACACTCACACTCCTTCCTCAGGAAACTTTGCGGAGATGCGGTTGATGGTTGAAAAACAAACCCAAGGTAATTTTCTTTGAGCGACTTTAATGACTCTTTTGACATGCCCACTTTAAATGCTGGATGTTCTGCAGCGGGTGAAGCAGAGATCCTTGAACTATAGGATTATACTACAGGGGCCTGATCCAATGTCCATTGATTTTAATGGGATTCTGGATCAGGCCCTCATATTTTAATCCATTTGAAGAGACTTAAAACAAATATGTTTCACAAAAGGGTAAAACTTCTCATCAGATGCGCTCTGTAGCAGTGCAAATGATGGAACTGTGACAGATTAATTAATCCCAATGATACATCAAGCAGAAATTCTGCGAAAGGCTCTTGCAGCCTGGTCCGGGGAGCAGAGGGTGCTCGAGCTGTTACTGGGAAGGTCTGAGTCAGTGCTCAGTACCATAAGCCCAGGAAACTCTCACTAAAACAAAGCCGCCCCTTAATAGGCCATTTCACAAACAAGCTCACTGTTTCCAGCACACGCTACATGCGTTTTATGTAGACCACCTGTTTGTTAATGTGACCTCCTTTGGTTCTAAACAGTGATAGATCAGACAGGATTTGCTGGGACCCTAGAAGTGATCTATAGGCTTCAGCTTTACTGCAGCTGAAGCTAAAGTTATTTATGTCTATTAGCAGTTCGGTTATCATGGGAAAGCAAAGAGGGCTTTCAGGGAAACTTGAATTAACATTAAGTAGGACCAGATAACTTTGGCGCACGTGGTATTAGGCCTAAGAGATTGTACTGATGGTGTGTTTAGCGATGATACAATACCTCACTTAGAAATTACCATTGTCATCAAGTGACTGTAACAAGATGCACATAAGCCCATATGCAAAACCCTTCTTATTTAGTTTTTCTCTCCCTCTCTGTTATAACTAGGACTTCAACTTCCACAAGTCCAGAGGTCCTACTCAGGAAGGCGTTACCCAAGACAGATCTGCAGCTGTCCTTCCCAATGGACGCCCGGAGTCTTCCATTTCATACTCCCCTATTCCCATCTCCCCAGCCCCTCACAGAAATCCCTCCTACCTGGGCAAATCATGAGCTGGAAGCTCGGAGAGGCCTGTGGCATTTCCCCCATCCAGTGACCCGCTCTGCCCTGCCCAAGAGGATCTTACAGCCCCTCAAAGGGGTCACTGACACATGTTTCTGACAGACAATGGCTTTTGGATTAACTGGAAATTCTCAGGAAAACATTTCCATTGTCCTCAGTTATTTTGGAGATTCTTATTTAAAAAATGAAAACCTGAAGGAAAAAAAAAGGAAGGAAACAAAAAGAAAGGGGCAATGTTTCTCTGTTTCTGTTATTGTCCTGTATGAGGGGTTCCGGCTGAGTCACTGCTTGTGCTCTCTGCTGTTTCCTGGAGCTTTGGTTACACTTATTATTACACATCGTTTTTATATTTTCAGCTTTGTTTACTCTTGAGTCATCTTCTCTTTACCTTTGTCAAAGTTCACAGTGTAAGCAAGAGCGGCGGTGTGGCTTAGGTAAGATGAAATGCCTTTAGATGGTATTTTGAATATTATAACATTATTTTGCTAGACTTATTTGTGTCCTGCTATTGTGGGCTGTAAGAGCAACTGTTAAAAGCAACTGTCTGTGATTAAGTTTAAAACTAACCTATCCCAGTGTCTCTGGGCTTTCGGAATGCTGTCTCCAGCAAGCACTGATGAGCCCACTAACAACAGAGAGAGGATTTAAGAAAAAAGAAAGAAACCTTGAATTGTAAAAAATAGCACATTTTTAGTTAATTTCCAACATGTTCTATTTATTGTGCACAAAACAATGGACATGGCTCACGCAGAGCCTCATGTGAAGGAGAGTCTGTTGCTGTCTATGACACATTAGCCATCTAGAGCGTCCTATCGGACAAACTAAAGAAAGCAAGCAGTTCGCTATCTGGGCGAATAAGTCTCTCCAACTGAAGTCTTGAATTACAATGGGATGTAGCAGTTTGTGGAGCTGGCAGCTTTCCTGCTGGGGACTGTGGGACCATCATGCTGCTGCCAATGGATTTTCTTCTGGAGTCTGCAGCAGGAGGCCTGCACTTTTCTGTGGCTGCCTGAGTTCTGGACTTTTCATGAGAAAATTACATCAACACACATGCACAAAGGAAAGAAAGAAAACAGGCCTTACTAGTTCAGTATTGAATAGCAGACGGATAAAAAAGGTCTTACTCAATTTGCTCATATTTTATTTTTTAACTTAGTTGTGGTCCAAAATTGAAGGGGAGATGCCTGTGCAGGCAATGGGGCTCAGTCTGGCTGTCCAGTAGCCACCTGATGCATTTGTTCGGGGTAGCTAGTTATATTTGCCTAGGCATATGCACCTGTGCGAAGCCAGTGCTTCCAAGGGTGAATGAGATGATATTGGTGGGGGAGGCTACATTACATGTGTTTGTTAAAATTCAGAACAATGGTAGCCAAATAAAAGCAGCATAATTCTACTGCTTAGTACCAAATGTGTGTATGTCTAGAAACCCAGTACTGTATCCTTTGGAAATGAGCACTTCATAAATATACCTGTTTTACTCACATACCTAAGGGACTGGCACAACCCCAAAGGGGAAATACTGAGGGGAAGGACAGGCAATGACATTTAATGGCTGCTGTGGGAGAATTTGTGTCTCCTCCCTAGAAAACCTCTGCTGCATGCATCATACGTCTGCTACTCTTCATGCCAAGTCTCTGACATATTATATTTGCACATTCTGGCCCTATTATTGTAATAAGTGCCAATGAAAAACCATTCAGCAATCCACTGTACGTGAGAGAGAGCTGGAAATTACAGTGGGAAAATGTGTGTGTGCATTTCGAGCAGCGAGAGCAGAGTCAGATACACACAGGGTGTGGGCAATAAAGCCAAAGATCCAACATGACTCATTAATTCCCCCTTTCAAATTCTATGTCACAGGTTGAAGAGTAAAATTTGGGTGTCACAGTGTGGCTGGCCCTTTAAGGGAGTTGAGCCCAGCCTCACCTGTGATGGATCAGCTAGGAATCTGGGGCTATCAAACCTAGCAAGCAGGGTTGTGGGCTGCATGGGGCTGGAAGGGTTCTGTCTGAGATCAGTGCTTGATGGAAGGGGGGTTGTGCCTGGGGCAGGCCTGGGAGCAGAGTAACTCCCAGGCAAAGTGTCTCTAGGAGAATTGGAAAAGAGCTTCCAGGAAACTCCTGGGTCAGGGTGGGGGGAAGAGCACAGTCTGTGGCTGACCCTCAGGCAGGGGGCCTGGAGTGTGGAAAGCTGTAGGGCATAGAGAGGCGCCCGTGGAAGACCCTGGATTGGGGGAAGGGGTGATTGATGTAGGATTTGTGTTACCAGGTTTATGCAGAAGAAATAAAGCTGAAGCCCTGAGGGAAAAGGCCTTGGCCAGACTCTGGGTGTGGTCGCAGGGCTTCCTGGGCTGAGGGAGCAGGCCTGTGGCTGACAACAGATTAGTGGGGAAAATTAACTTGTGTGTGCGGAGCTTAGTTAAGGTCAATGAACACAAACACAGCTGATCCCTGGAACCAGGGCTGCCCGGGGCGGCAAGTGGGGCAATTTGCCCTGGGCCCCACAGGGGCCCGCACAAGAATATAGTATTCTATGGTATTGCAACTTTTTTTTATGGAAGGGGCCCCTGAAATTGCTTTGCCCCGGGCCCCCTGAATCCTCTGGGCAGCCCTGCCTGGAACAACCAAGGACATTCCAATAGGTGTACAACACCCTGCTTGTTTGTGCACGTAAGTAGTTTCCCTACTAATGCCTTGTACGTGAGATGCTGTGCGTTCCTTGGGAACTGCCAGTTAGAGCATTTTGTTTCAAAAGTATAATCTGAGTCAGTATGACACAGGCCACGAACCCTGTTTGTTGCTGAACCGAACAAATTAAATTGTATCAGTTTGGGGTGTGGGAGGGACTAAATACGCCCGGGTTAGTTTCATTTTCACCTGAAAATGTAAAACCTATGGTGCAGGCGGCTTCACTAAATAGGCCACAATGTCCATGTCTGAGAGCAGAGCGCTAGATGCTTTTTTACTGCCCAGTGTCGCGGGAACACTACGCTTGGATTGTGTAACCGGATGTACTAGATACACTGAAGCTGAGGGCGTGTTAAGCTGTCACTGTCTGCATGCGAGGTGCCTGAGAAGGCCAGAATGTCAGTAGATGAGAACTGGTTTATTATGCCCACAAAACACCCTCAGACACTCAACCAACAAGCCAAACGCCCAAAGCCAAAAAGTACATGGTAGAAAAACTTCACAGCATCTGGCCAAACCCTGCTGGATCTTTCAGTGGTCCCCAGATCACTGGTAGCCACATGCAAAACTTTGTTGCAAGTACAGTCTGAAGAGTCGGTTTAGGGATGGGGCTGGTGATTGCAGGTCAGTTTCCCTCACAAGGGGAGACAGGTATTAGAATGAAATCTGCCTCCTCTTGCCCGGGCTTTTCATGGGAGACAACTGTGGCGCTTGGCAAAAAGAGCTCTGCAGCTTGTGTGCATTTCCCAGCAGGGCGCAGATTCAGGACATCCCTGGTCTCCTTGGCATGCAAACCTGTACCTAATTTCTTCTCAAAAGGGCCCCAAGGAAGTAAGCAGATGTTATTATTAAAAGCATTGAGTATCAGCAGCTCCTGAGATAGTCAGTTCCTTAATTAGCTGACCAAACTGGGGAAAGCAAGGTGTTTCCCAACTTCTTAGTAATGAAAATAAGACCTCCAAGGTTAAAAGACTTCTTTTAAACTGCACCAAGTTTATAGGTTGCAAAATGTTCTTTAATCAGTATATTCTTAGAAGGCCTAACCACACAGTCACGGGAGTAGGTGGGATATGAAGTGGCACTGCTGGGAAACATTAGCAGCTCTAATTCTGAAGCATTTGCTGCCATTTCTAACGGCTAAATACTTGGTTTCTCTTCACAATAAACTCATTCAAAATGGTCTCTATTCCTTAAATCCATATATACCACAACGATTCACATTAGCTCTGCTCCCAGGAATCTAAACACTTTCCAACATTATTTTAACATTTTGTCGTTCGTTTGAAAATTAACCCGATTCTCCCCCCCCAGTTTTTCATTCTTCATTTGACATCCTTTCATCCTCAGGTGTTTTCTAAGTCTGGAAGGAGCCAAAATATGCAAAAGTGGGCATCATAAAGGAGCCTTGAAAGTTAGAAAGTGTCCCTGGGTCGCTTCTCTGTCTTTGCTCCAGCCTCTTTGGCAAGGCTGACGTCAGGACCCTCCATGCCTAGAGATTGGCTGGCAACCTGCTCCTACTATAAAGAGCGGGAGGGGAAGGAATAGCAGCCATTCTTCAAGTTCCACACCATCTGGGAGTGTGCGTGGAGTTGGTTCTTTTAGTTGAAGGGATATTTAGAAACTGGAAGGCACTGTCAGTTCGATTAGAGTAAACTGATGACAGGTAAGATTTTGAGCAGAGGTAGCATTCATTATTGGTGCAGCTCTACAGGACAGTGGGGCATTTCTTTAGGTGCTTTACAGTTAATATTAAAAGAGTTTTAGATCCAAGATCTGACCAGTGTAAGCTGAGAAAAACTTGCCTGGTAAAGTTTGGTTCTTTATGCTCAAAATGTGACCAGATAAAGTTTAAGGGGAATATTCAAGGGGAAAGGGGTATGCGCAGAGGGCAAGTTTTACTACCCAGCTCTCCCTGCCCGCTCACTTTGGCTTTTCCTATTTGAAAATTGCATAAGCCGCATCCGGCTGAACTAAGCTTGGCACAGGCACTGGGAAGGGGAGAGAGGCACCCGTTGGAAAGCTCCCCCCCCCCCCGAGGAATGGGGGCCAGCAGCCTAAGCAAAGCCCACAAGAAGGATTTAGCTGTGGATTCAGCAGTCCAGCATCTCTGTGACACTTCCCCTCCTGCCATGCATCACTTGGGTGTATAATCATGTGTGGATGTACTTTAGCATGGCTATATTTATAACAGCTGATAAGTAGTAACTGCTAGAAATAGGTCTGTGTGTGCGCCAGTGAGGAGGGGGCATGTTGTGATAAATTGACCCTAAGCTAAATTGTTTGTCTCTGATTTTAAAGAGTAAACGATTGGGTCTTGGGGCAGTGGTGCAATGGCTGTTTGTGTGTCACCATAACTTGGGGGGTGTGTGTGTTAGTTTTGTAATTTTTTAAGGTGGCAATTTATTTACTTCACTGCTGCTTCCTAGAGGGCTTTCTGACATGCCCTTCGTTTTAATCCTAATCTGTGTCATTGACTAAATGTACCTAGAGACTCAGAACCAAACAGAACCTGAAATATCTGTCAGAGTTTTAAGAAGTGTCATTGTTTTTCTCGGTTTCCTCAGCCTCTGCCCCTTCTGGCTTCAGCCAGGTCTGGAAGCAGAAAAAGTGAAATACAGCTAGTGAGGCTCTTGTGAAATCTCTCTGCATGGAAAGCAAGGCATACTGCAAAACCCCTGCAGCAGTCTGACCTTAAGAGCTACTGATCTACCCACCCATGGCTTTCCTAACATGCTTACACCTGTGGTACCTTAGATCCAGCCTGGTTCATCTAACAGACTCAGGATACTTCACTTCAGGCAAACCTCCAGCTCGCTTGAGGTTCTCCATCACTAGTGCAGTGCTGCGCTGCAGATGGCTGGGGGTATAGGATCATCCCTGGTGCTAGGAGAGCCATTGTTAGCTCATCAGAAGAAAAACTGCAAAAGATTAAAAATAGACACTGAACAGAGATTCCCCTTCTCTCGGAGTGGGTCTGATGTTCAGTGCTCATAGCGTACAGCTCCTGGCACCACATGCATTGCCACAAATATCACTGAAGCTTTGGGGTTGCTTTGCTAAATCATTTGGCACTGAGACCTAACACACAGCTTTCCCTAGACAGCCTGGCTCCTTGGGATCTGGATAGCCAGTACTCCAGCTGGAACCCAACCCAGCCATAACTTCACAGTCCCTTCCTTTTGCAGGTTTAAATCAGACATGGGCCATTCCTGGGGCTGAGATGTGTGAAGGGAGGAGAGGATTTCATTGTCTTTCAGGAAGGATGGGTTTCTATGAGTTTTCTTTGTAAGTTGCCTGAGAAAACCATCCTGGGATGCATGAAAGCATTTGGGGCTTCTCATGTCAGTAGAAATCAGGAAGGGGATGATTCTATTCTATTCTAGAGAGATTCTGACACCTACAGTCTTGCAAATCTGCTTGATCTCCATGGCTCATGTTTGTGGATTGGATGCGGCTACAAATTTTGTATCCACGCAGGGCTCTACTTATGCCAGGCTCGTCACTGTAGTATCTGAGCACTCTGCAGTCATGCATGAAGTGATGGGACCAGCATGTGTGTTGTGTTTGGTCTCTCATCATCTCCCTGGGCGGGTAAGGGGGGGGGGAGTGTTTGCAGTAGAGAGTTTTGCTCAGGAATTATTTTATAATAAATTATACATGCATGTTGCTATGTGTTTGTGTTAGAGAAGGCAGGGCAAAGAACTGTGCCTTGCACTTGGTGTGAAAGGATATCTGCACTGTGTAAACACCACAGAGTGAGACAAATTGTGCTGGGTGCCCCGGGGGGGATAACGAGGAGTCACAGAGTGAAACTAAGCCAGGCAGATCCACAGGCATAGGGTCATAGGCCGGAAGGGACCTCACGAGGTCTCTTGTCCAGTCCCCGGCGCTCCTGACAGGACTAAATATTCTCTGGACCATCCCTTGCAGGGGTTTGTCCAACCTGCTCCTAACAATCCCCAGTGATGAAGATTCCACAACCATGGTTTTTGTAGAGGGAAATCATGCCTCACCAAACTACTAGAATTCTTTGAGGGGGTCAACAAGCATGTGGACAGGGGGGATCCAGTGGACGTAGTGTACTTAGATTTTCAGAAAGCCTTTGACAAGGTCCCTCACCAAAGGCTCTTAAGCAAAGTAAACTGTCATGGGATAAGAGGGAAGGTCCTCTTGTGGACTGGTAACTGGTTAGAAGATAGGCAACAAAGGGTAGCTATAAATGGTCAGTTTTCAGAATGAAGAGAGGTAAATAGTGGTGTCCCCCAGGGGTCTGTACGGACCCAATCCTATTCAACATATTCATAAGTGATCCGGAAAAAGGGGTAAATAGTGAGGTGGCAAAATTTGCAGATGATACAAAATTACTAAAGATAGTTAAGACCCAGGCAGACTGCCAAGAGCTAAAAAAATCTCTCAAAACTGGGTGACTGGGCAACAAAATGGCAGATAAAATTCAATGTTGATAAATGAAATGAAAAGTAATGCACATTGGAAAATATAATCCATACTATACATATAGAATGATGGGGTCTAAATTAACCACTCAAGAAAGAGATTTTGGAGTCATCGTGGAGAGTTCTCTGAAAAAATCCACTCAATGTGCAGCGGCAGTCAAAAAAGTGAACAGAATGTTGGGAATAATTAAGAAAGGACAGAAAATATCATATTGCCTCTATATAAATCCATGGTACACCCACATCTTGAATACTGTGTGCAGATGTGGTTGCCCCATCTCAAAAAAGATATATTGGAATTGGAAAAGGTTCAGAAAAGGGCAACAAAAATGATTAGGGGTATGGAATGGCTTCCGTATGAGGAGAGATTAATAAGACTGGGATTTTTCAGCTTGGAAAAGAGATGACTAATGGGGGATATGATTGAGGTCTATGAAATCATGACTGGTATGAAGAAAGTAAATAAGGAAGTTATTTACTCCTCATAACAGAAGAACTAGGTGTCACCAAATGAAATTAATAGGCAGCTGGTTTAAAACAAACAAAAGAAAATATTTTTTCAACACAATGCACAGTCAACCTGTGGAACTCCTTGCCAGAGGATGTTGTGAAGGCCAAGACTATAATAGGGTTCAAAAAAGACTAGATAAGTTCATGGAGGATAGGTCCATCAATGGCTATTAGCCAGGATGGGCAGGGATGGTGTCCCTACCCTCTGTTTGCCAGAAGCTGGGATGGATCACTTGGTGATTTCCTGTTCTGTTCATTCCCTCTGGGGCACCTGGCATTGGCCACTGTCAGAAGACAGGATACTCAGGCTGGGGAAATGGTGGCCTAAGAACAGAGGTGAAAGTCCCATGGTTTGGGACTCTGTTAGAGACCAGTGTGTGTTGGCTGCTGGGTGGAATGGCTGAAGTAGGCGGCCTTTCCCATCTCTAGTGTCCAGAACGCTGAGTTTTCAAACACAAGCTCACTTGCTATTTACATTGAATATTTAAAGCTTCTCTTTCCATCCTAAAACTATAAAAATAAATGGCTCAATATATTCTGTGTTATAAAACCCGAACTGAACTGATCTGTGAGCAGGGCATCTTTTGCCTGGAACCTGGTTTTCTGAGGGCCCTTGAAAACAACAGCATTCGGAGTACACGAGGCCAGACTCGTAGTAGCCCAGGGGACGCTTGTAAGATGAGCACTAGGAGGAAAAGGCTGGCTTCCAAGAGAGGCTTGAACTAGTGTACTTCCCCTCATCTAGTGCCGAGTGGACACCTCACTCGGTGGGTTAATTACCACAGCATGAGCCTTGTTACTTAATTACTGTTACGTTTGTAGCATGTTTCCCAGCATGTTTGTCTGGCTTTGTATCTGAATTCTAGTCAGGTAGTTGGAGTTGGGAACTGGGACTCAGGACTCCTGGGTTCTATTTTGACTGCAGATTTTCTGGGTGATCAGGACCAAACCACGTAACTCCTCTGGGCTTGCATTTTGCTCTCACTGAGTTGTCCCCTGTTAATTTCAGAAGAGTTAGGCCTGATTTTCACCTGGGTAAAAGAGCTCCAACTGTGGCCCTTTGTGCAATAATACTACTGACCAGCAGCACCTCACGGAGGTGTTGTGATGAATGAGCAGTTTCTGTTAGCAAATCACTTTGAGATCCTCGAGTAAAAGATGCTGTTGTTCTGCAAATGTTGTGCCATTAAAGGTAAAAAATTTAAAAACCGGAAATGCCGTGTTTTTTCCACCACTTACTGCTTACACATATTGGGGAAAGTCCATGTCCTGTCATTGTAACTGTTCTCTCTATGCTCGACTGGGGAACGGACCTGGAAATGCATGGGCATGTGCAGCCCCCTCGGACATCCCTGGGAGTTACACGCAAAACTGCCAGGCTAATTGGGCAGCTTGAGGGAACTGATGATGCTCAGCATTAGAGAGGAACCTGGCAGTGTCACAACTAAGGAGGGAGGCAAATTCATTTTCTCTAAAAATGTTGGGGGGGAGGGGGAATATGTAGCTAAATATTTTAGTTTAATTTTTAAAAGAATATACAAACATCTTTATCTTGAAATATCCTTGGCACAAAAAAGAAAACATTCGCTCTTATCAGCTTCTATCATTTAGCATTTTCTTACATATTTATATAACGTTCAGGAAAAAAAAACAGTTTTCTGGACATTAAATAAATGAAACGTGCACATAATTTTGTGGTGGGAGGGAGAGGGGGCATGCGTGCAAGTGCAGAAACTATCAAAATATTATTCATACAATTAATGCATTATACAAAATGAAATTATTATTTTAATCTGGGGCTGCCAGCCAGCTAAGAGGCAGAAGACACCTCTGCTCTAGCCAAGGGTCTGGCACAAAGAAGTGTGTAGTGCACGTTGGGGTGGAAAGATGGCCTGTAGCTCCCCTGTGCCTTCTCCCAGTCCTGCATATGTTGTGTACAGGGCCAGCCCCCGGCCAGGTTAGAGCAGCCCTCAGGCTGATCTAGCTGAGACCAGCGGCTAACAGCCCCAAGGGGCTTGGTGCCACATCGGAGCATCCTCCAGCCATGCCTGCTATGCTGGCCCCAGGGTGGGGGACGCCATAGGAGCCAGTGTATGGTTCTTTGCCACTGGAGGATCCCCGTTCCACTGAAGTGATCACCTCAGAACTGTATACACCAGCTGAAGGCCAGAATCTGCTAATATGGCACAAAGCAACCGTGGCCATCTCGCAGCATCTATCTCCAGAGCAACACTCATCTGAAGCTCACAGACAAGGAAAACAAGATACTTTACACATTCCCACTTGTCTCTCAGGTTCCAAAGCTCAGAATATACTGAAAACACATGGCAAAATATGGCTGTACCTCCCACGGGACTGTTCTGAGCTATACAAGGGGTATACTGTGACTAGCCTTCTCTAATGCAAACACAGACTTGGAAAGACTTCCTAATACAAAACATTAAAATACGCCTGATTTGGGAAGCTGTGGGTTGGCCTCCTCAATCCCAAAAGACAAGGCTGTTTGTAACCCAAGTCTGTGTGACGTCCGTTTGCAGACAAAAACAGAACCAATTTCCCATATGAAGACGCGTTCTCTCTTTTAGTAGTGTATCGATAAACTGCAGCACAATCAGTATAATTTCATACTGGCATGCGCCTTAGAACTGTGACTTGCTGCAAAACTCAAACTATGGATTCATTAAGAAGACACCACCCAGAATAAATCCAGAAGGATTAAAGTAGCAATTCTGCACTATTCTGTTAGAATGTACCATGCCACATATTGCATTTGGCTGTGTGCATGCTGGTTAGGTCACGGAAACCTTATAGTGCATGAAAGCATTTCAACTAACTGAAAACAACACTAGATACAGGCATATTTTTATATTCAAGGAACTATTTTGGAAAGTGGAATTTTGTGATTTAAAAAAAATTCAGGAGTCCATATATAGTTTTTGTCATAACACCAAAAG